TGGGTCTTGGAGTCGACAACTTTGCTCGTATCATTTCCAGTAGCTTAGCGTAGACATTTACTTGAGTGATCAGTATGGTAACCGTAATTTACTTAGACCCTGAGTTCCCTGATATTTGGTACTCTGCCTTTAATCTCCGTTCTTTAACCTCCTTTCTTTAACAGGAGTATTACTGCTGTGGTTCTGGTGCATTTCAAGTAATCATTGCAGTTTGATAGATGTGGCAACAACATGCTTTATTCGTCTGAAGATCTAAGCATTTCAAGAGAATTTCATTGATTCCGGTAGTGTTGCTACTTTTAAAGCTGTTAACAGCTTCTTCGACTTCGTCTACTCAAAGAAGAATATCCGTTCCCTGTTTCCGCGGGTTAAACAATTCTTCAAAATATTCTTTTCATGGTCGAAGTGTGTTTTCTTCCCTGTAGGAGGGCGTCTAGAGTTGTGCTTCAGAACTCTTAAATTGCTTTTCTTTCTTTCTTAGAGGAGGCGGATGGTATGTTAGTATTCTTTTTTTGCCGTCTAGAAGTTCGCCTCCCGCAACTCACTGAATTTTTTCCAAAAAATCATCTTTCTCTGTAGCCACTGCTTTAGCTGTTGCCTTACCCGCTGTTTCGTACCGTTTCGAGGATGAGACCCTTTTCTTCCAAGCTCCCTTTAAATATAGCCTTCTCGCTCAAATCAGTTGAATGTCTGGTATCCAGTTCGTTTCTGATCGTCAGGCGGTAAGCCGCAGCCGATCAGCGGCAACCGGGCTTAAATTAACTTAATGCTTCTACTAGATTTTTACGTTAGCCATAATCGCTGAGATCTCTCCAGATCTCGGTGGTACGATGTTGTTATCGTTCACATTTTTGCCATTTGATACTCTGGTTTCTTCTGGCGCTAGGTGTAATGCATTGTTTACAGCGAAGGTTGCACCGACGACAAGCTGGTTGACAGATTTGAGCGTCACCTAACGCTGACACCCAATGCAGAGTGTCGGAAATAAGATGATATGATCAGGAATAAGATAAACCACTTTGGTGAACTAGTTTTCATCTACCACATTTACTTAATGGTCGTTTCGATGCTAATACTTTCCCGGTGCACTTTTTCACCTTTCATGGTTTCATCTGACATGCACCTTGAAATCAGAATGATGGCTTTTGCTGTCTGCACTTCGTACCGAACATCTTTCACTTCCTCAAAGAAGGACCGATATTCTCCCTCCAGACTGTGTTCCGGACCTGTGACAAGGTCAACGCTTTAGCTGTTGTAGCTTCATTCAGAGAATTGCCACTGTTCAGCTGACAGGCTTCAATCCAATGATTCTATCAGCCAGGCTGAGTCCTACCGGAACACCAACTCCGGCTTGAGTGCTGGCCGTGAAGTCGATACCAGAGTGGAATAGCTTCCATCCGGAGAGGTAGAGAATTCCATAGCGTTGACGCTTCCTTGATGAGAGTACAGCTACATCAAATAAGTATCTTGCGATGTCATCAACTAATGTTTCCTCTTTCCTTCTGAGGAAAAATGTACATGTTCGTCCTTACACATGTTCGAATTTTTATTTGTGGCTCCCCCCAATTGCCCGAGTCTTTTTTATACGATTTTATCCGACCTACTATAGTGGCATCGTGCTATCTGTCTTCTCCGTTCAAAACGATTACCCGCTTTATGTTTGACTGGTGCGTTCGTCTTCTCGTTAGTTATTTGCAGCCGTAATCAGCCGCCAGAAGGTATGAAACATCCCTCAGTCCCCCAATGAGATGACAGCCATTGATAACTCCGGGTGACGCCTGAACCGTTATAAAGATCGGCATCTACAATACTTTGGGGAACAGGTGGCTACGTTTTACGCAAAACACCTCAGCACGGTTTCCCACCCTTCACTTTACTCATCCTGGCTTGAGTGCGGCTTGATTCGTGGATACATATCTTTTAAGATAGGCAGATGATGATATGTCCAAATATCATACGGCATTGTGTGATTATCTACGTGTTTCCCTCTAGCTTGAATATTCTTTGTACTGCATACCTCTTCCACGTTAAATTTTTACTCTGGTTGAGGAGTTATCTGAGGTTTTGAAAATAATGCTCTAAAAGTTACTGATTACCGGTTTTGATTACGAAATAATTTCATTCCGTTTTTGTGCGAACAAAATGCTGCTCTCGACGGCAGCATAAAGGCATCCGGATTGGTGAGACACCGAACGACTGGGTTGTTCGTGAGGATAGGGTAATGATGGCACGTTTCGAAAACTGATATTGGATTTACGGGGCGAAAACATACCGTAGAAAGAAGCCAGCATACTTCTTACTTTACACTGACCGGCGCTAGTACGGCACAAATAAAAGATTTTCTATTTTCAGGACGTCGTTTCTGTTTTCCAGAATAGTAGAGAATCTATTTCCTTACACAACTCTGTTACCAGAGACTCAGGTTTATATACTTTCGCCCAATTAAACTTAGACATAAAATAATTAGACTACGAAACAAGATAGACCACGAAATCACCTTCGTACGTGAAGATCAGAATCAGGTAAGGTTGGTAGTTTCTGCAGATCAAAACAGACCTTACTGTTTCTAAGCTGGGCAGCGTATGCCTATGTTTATGGCTGAGTGACCACCGAACGAATAATGAGCAACGTTATGCGTCCTTAGTTAACTTCTATATAGTAAAGTTTTATTTTCTTGAGGCTAGCATTTCATTTTTTTTCATACTAATAGGGAGAATATACCAAGTGATGATTTTTTAGTGCGATCCAGACTCTCTTGTTAGCTGGAAGTAGCACACTTGATTGAGTTATAACACAAGGAATTGATTGCAGTTTACTTTAAACGAACTTTGTATTTAATGGACTAGACCGATCTGCTGGCTCTTTCTCTACTATTAGAATGATTTGGCGTGTTTTTGTGATATGTAACATTTTATTTGTTCATATCTTAGGTTTTTACATGAAATTAAATTTCGGTTTAATTAAATTTTTATGGCAACTTTTCAGAAGAGAGTTACAACAAGGCCATTGAACTGTACACTGCGGCGATCAACTTGAATCCGAATGAGCCATCTTACTATGGTAACCGCAGTTTTGCGTTTTTGAAGACCGAGCTGTACGGTGCGGC